CACCTCTGTCCCCAGTCACAGGGGCCAGGCCAGGACCCTGTGCTGTCACCCACTCCAGGCAAGGAAGAGTGGTGCCTTCTCTCTAGTTCTCCAGTGTGTAGGTAGGTGGTAGGGAAAGTGAAAGGAGAAACTCCCCTCCCACTTCTGGGCTCCTTCTCTCTCCAGAGCAGTTGGGGCACCGCCTACTTCTACCCATTCTCAGCTACTTCAGACCTGGCATGGATGCTGGGCTGAGTCACCCCAGCAATGGAGGAAAACGGACAGTGGCTGCCGCGGGTCTGCACTCTTGGGGCCAGATCTGGCCCTCCAGAGCTTGGGACCCCGTGGTACAGAAAACCTTTCCAATGGGATCGAATGTTCTGGGTGCCAGCCAAACTCCCAGACCAGTGGCCTTGAACTGCCAGCAGGCAAGGGCAGTCTCGCCCCGCCTTGCCCTGTAAAGAGCTGTGAAGAGGGCCATAGGGCACTCACCTAAGAGAAGCAGGGACCTGGGAGACGTGGTGGCACCGGATGCAGTATCAGGACCTCCTACGGGAGCCGCAGTTTTAGGAGGCCACCCTAGCGATCTTCTGTTAGCCTTAGGAGTGACTTAGGGAGGGACTTTCCGACAATCACCAGATGCTGGCAAGAGCTGGATTGGTGGTTGTGTAGACTTCCAGCTATTTGACTACCACGCACGTAATCAAGTGAGTCAGAGAGCAGGGTCAGGCCAATGCTGGAGGCCTGTCCCACGGATGGGTAGATACTTGATGGGGACACTGCTAAGGCCCAGAGGACTGAAGCGTCCTTGGCACTGCTTGTCTGGCTTGAGGCAGGCAATACGGGTCCACCGGTTGCCCAGTGACCCTGGGCCCAGATGCTGGCACTGCCTTCCTTTCTCCGGGGCTGCCTCAGTCGGGCTCTTCCAGTTATGTAGTGCCAGACCGGTACATACTTGTCCCCGCCGCTGACTGGGTGCGGTCACGCTTCGGGACTTGGAATCCCTCATCTCTAGCTCCCTCCAGCGTCCAAGGGGCGAAAACACAGAGAAGGCCGTGGCAAAACTGACCGAAGGACCCAGTGGAGCCGCGGGAGGCGGGGCCCTATCCCCGCACAGAGCCTTGCCGGACCGCGGGGGCTCAGACGCCACGTGAGTGCTCCCCGGGCCTCTGTAATACACACGCTGGGCAGCATGTCGGCGACAACGGTGGCTCGAAAGCGGGGAGAGCCGGCCACGGGGGCTCGGGTCGGTGCAGCGGCCGGCAAGCGGCGGCGAAAGGTGAGCGCCGCGCTTCTGCGGGCCGGACTCAGACCCGCTGCTGGAACCACCGTCATCCCACCTTCATCCCCTCCCATCCTCTCCTGCCCCCTCCCCAAGCCTTCTCCCCGGACCCCAGTTGGAGTCAGCTTGTGACGCTCTCCGCTGACCAGATCCTGGAAGGCCTTGCAGTTGAGCCGGGGCCCCCCGCCTTCCCCAGTCCCGGGGCTCTGAGAGATCGGAAGGGGTCCCTCAGTGCCGAGGTGGTTGGGACTCCTGACCAAAGAGACGATCATGTAATTCCCAGGCCGACTCTGCTGGGGACAAGGGCAAGACCAAGGGTGGCGGCAAGATGAATGAGGAGATCTCCAGCCACTCCGAGAATGAGAGGTGAGCTCTTTTCCACCTCGTGGAAGGAAACACTGAGGCCCGTGGGGTGTGGAAGAGCCTCAGTGAGTCGGGGCAGAGCTGGGCCTAGAACCCAGGACTCTGGCCCTTGGCTCCCAGATCTTGGCTCTCTCCTCCAGTTTCTGACCCTGAGGTGTCTCCTCTCCTCCCCTGCACGGCGGTGTCTGTGGCTCATGGCGGGGAGCTGAGCACAGGCTGGACTGACTTGCAAGGGTGGAGGGATGGAAGAAATGCTTGCTAGCTCTTCATTCTCTTTTCCCACAATTTTACAATTACTGATCTCCCTCCTGACTCTCCACATGTGCCAGGCATTGGCTTCACTGCTGAGAGTACAGACATGGGCAGACGAAGACTGAATGTGTTGTAATGGGATGTATGTCTTAACAGCTGTGTGTTCTGGGAATGGGGCCTGGAGAGGTGAGGAGGAGTCCTTCATGGAGAGGTAGGGAAGGCATTCAGGGATCAGAGAAAAGTCTGGGGTGTAAGTGAGCCTATTGGGAGATGGAGAGGACAGCAGGGCAGGTGGTGAGTGCGCCCAGACTATGGAGGGCTTTGGATATCCCCCTCATTGTGCAGGTGACGGGGGTGGGGCATGCTGCGAGGTCTCACAGGGGGCTGGCAGGTGTCAGGTGTGACCCTGTGGAACGGAAGCTCTCACACTGGGGGATCCTGGTGCCTGCCTTACGAGTCGGCTTTAGAAATTCTGCTTTTAAAACCGACGACTTGTTGGCCTTAACCTGCTCGCAGAAAGACTTACTATACTTTTCTTAGTCCCAAGGTTACTGTGGGTGGGTGGGTGCCAAGCCCTCTGCTAAACNTGGGTCCCCAAATGACCAACAGTTCTGAGCTGACAGTGAGGGTCACCTTTAAAGGCTCAGTGATCCTAGGAGCTGGTTTGTTGCAGAGATGGACGTAGGTGGACCAGGGTGGGTGGGGGTGAGTGTGCGGCTGGAGCTGCCGTGTGATGTGGTGGGTCACTGTGGCGAGAAAGGAGGCCCAGGCCCGGTGTAGCCGCAGCACGGACAAGCAGAGGCTGGGGGTGAGTGGACACAATGTTTAATATACTCGCCTGTGCGCGCCTGGAGTTCAGCCCACCGTGGTGATCACACCCCTTGGATGAAGGGTCTGGGCCAGGGTGGAACCCCCGGAGGGTGGGGTGGGGGAAAAGCTCTGTGTGGGACACAGCAGGGAGATCTGGGAGCAAGAAGGGGTAATACGGGGGCACCAGAGATGGGCAGGGTTTAGGATAACAGTCTGCTCCCATCAGGGCCCCGGGGGACAGGGTAGGGGGGCAGGCAGCTCAGAGGTGCACCTCCAGCAGGTACCGCAGGCGGCACTGGCTCTCCTGGTAAATGACGTACTCGCTCTGGGAGGATGAGGAGCTGCCGAACTCTGGGCAGGGCACAGGCCGGCCCTGGGGCACCGCCACTCGCTGGCCATCCAGCTCCACCTCGGTGTCCTGGGTCGGATCTGCAGTGCACACCAAGGGTCACTCACTAGTAAGTCCTGCCCACTACGCTCCCCACTTCTGCCACAGGGAATGTCTGTTCATTCCCACCTTGCCAACCTCCAAACCACTGCATAGGCTGGGCCTTCTGCCTGATCTATCCTTCCCCATTTCTCTACCTGGGGAACATCTACTCATCTTTCAATGCTTAGCATCTTTCAATGCTTAGTCAATGACACCTCTTCTTTGAAGCCCTCCTGGATGCCCAGAAGTGATTTGGTGAATGACTGCAGTGAGGAATCCTGCTTCTTTTTGTTCCTCTCCACAGCCCCTTCTCTGCTCATCTCCCCCACCCCATGAAAGCATCCTGGTCCCAAATCTCAGCCCCACCTCTATCCTCAGGCCTGCCCAGCTTCTTGGGACTCACCAGGCTCGGTGCCGCCATGGGCGATGACACTGTTGAAACCAGGGGGTAGCTGCTTCAAGCTGGGCTCGTCGATGGTGATATGGTGCACTTTGCCCAGTGCCACCTCACCCAGGAACATGTAGCCAATGGAGGGGACCTCACAGGACATGCCAGTAACTGGGGGACATGGAAGCTCAGACTGGGAGGCTCAGCCCCCCACTGTTACCCCCTTTGATTCTGCTGCCCCAGCCCAAAAAGGTGCCCGCTCTTCCTCCATCCTTAAAACATGCCCTTGTCCTGGCCGTGCTCCCCCACTCCTCGGCTCCCGGAGGCCGGGCCTCTGCAGCCCCTGCCGCCCTCACCAAGCTCTGTGATGGCCTCCCAGTGACCAAATCCAGAGCGGGGCGTTTCTCCCTGGTTGTCCTGCTGATTTTGCCACAAGCATCTTTCACCCCCTACCCTGGGGCCCCTTTGCACTGGCTCTCCTGAGGCCGCCCTCCACTCCTTCTTAGGCTCCTCTGCCCCCCTGTTGGACCCCTTGGCCGTGGGCAACCTCAGACATCCTATAACTTCAGCCTCGTCTGCCCTTGGCCCTTGCTCTCTTGGATGGGTGGGTGGCGGTGGTCTCACATGGTGGGGTCAGGCTGGGCTGAGGAGCCAGCCTGGGGAGGTCATCTCAGTGAGGATGACTCTGGACAGAGGCATCAGGCTGCCATCTCTGGTGCCCCCATATCACCCCTGCTTGCTCCCAGATCCTCCTGCTGTGTCCCAGACAGTGGTCCCCCCCACGCCAGTCTTGGGGGTCATCAGACACCTTTGACCCTTCGCCATGTGCTGCTGCACATATTGTGCATGTTGCTCTCTTGGGGTCTCTTCTCCCCAGACCCACTGCCCTGGCCCGATGAGAGCACCGCCCCCTGCAGGCTCTGGCCTCTGCCACACTCCCCACGGCTGCAGCCACTGAGACCCTGCTATTTACAAGTCCGAATGGGCTCCCCATCACTCTCTGGACAAGGCCCCCTTGATGCTCCCAAGCCCCCA